CAGCAGTGATTCTGCAATAGAAGAGGGCAGCTGATCCAAAGAGGATCCTTGCCTGCCAGTCAGCCATGTCCCATCTATGCCTTCAGAACAGCAAACAGCCCAATTAGCACTGATTAAGTAAATGAGATAATGGTAATAAAACCTGTAGAAACCAGAAATTTTTTTCCTGTCCAGGGCTGCAACTGGGGCATATTTTGATGACCTCTCTTCTCAGTTCCTCACAGCTCTTATGTACTGTTCATTTGAACATATTCCCTGTACTCCTGATATGATTCAGTCATACTTGCCTGACTAGCTTTCCTGAGCTAGGCATCTGGGAAGAAGCAGAAGAAAATACAACTAAGCATCAAGAAGGAATTTTTTAACTGCAGAGATGAACTGAATCTAAAGACAGAGGAATAAAATTGGGACTGAACTAGCCTGATGCATGAAAATTATATTTTCCTTGGCATTCCAGGCTTCCCCAGCTTTCTTTCATCATACTTTTCTGTACAGCAGCTGCACAACTCTAATCTGGCAAGCCTCTAAAAACAGTGAGTAGAAACAGGGAAACCCACTGTCCGGAGTCATCTGAAAAGATCATGAGGCAGGTGGGGGTGAAAAGCTTGGTGTGTCCTTTGAGCTTCCTGAAACTGGACCCTTTCTGACATTTTATTGTGAATCAGAGACCTCCATTCTTGTGGGTGCTCACCATTTTGTTGTTGTATCATCATGATATCTTCAGGGAGAAGTTCTCCAATTCTTACTATTTTAAGGCTCTATGGTCTTCAGAATGTCTTCTATCATCTGAAATCCCCAGTACATGCAATGTAAGCTGACAGTTCTCGATGAACCATCATTATATCTTGGCTGGATACCCAGCCTAGTGAATCATGAAAGTGCCAAAGCTTTTTATTATGAACAATCTCTCAAACTTCAGTGGGAATAATGAAGAAGACAGAGCTAAACTCTCTGCTTGGAAATGAATAAACACCTTAAACTCCGTATGTGCTTTAAGCAAGTCTTATGAGATACAGAAGCCATTAGGAAGTGCAGATTAAAAGAAAAACCTCCAAGTTTCTTCTTATTTTCTCTGAGGATAGCAAAAGTTGAAGTGGGCTCTCTCCTGATGGATGGTAGCTGCCCCACAGACAGGCAGAGCTGCCTCTCCAAGGTAGATGTGCTTTAAGCCCAAGACTATCACAAGGATGCAATTTCCAGCCCCTACCTAAAGTTCAGGAACAAAATCCCTGAGACTGAGCATCACATCTAGCCTGAAGAAAAAATAGATGAGATTTGATCAAGTCCCAGGAGAGTCACCTACCCTAGCCCCACTGACTTTCAAATGGCAGCTCAGCACCAAACTTCCTTATGTTTTCAGGAATTTCCACATTGAACCCCTCTTTCTACCACCACTGTCTTCCATGGCAGGAAATGTGGTAGGCAGGAAAGGAATGGAATATCACACATAGCTGGAAGGCCTGGTTAATACTGCTTTGTTGGGATGTGTGATGCAACAATATCTGCATAATTCTATGTAAAGCTTCCTTTCATTTAGCTGGAGGTTTTCAGTCTAGTGGAACACAAACAACAGGTTCATTGAGGTCTCAGTTCCACCTCTCACAGTGTTTGAACACAAGAAATGCAGTGCAGACACTGGGAGGGCTTTTGATGTTTCAAACCGGACAATGAGCAACAGTAATACCGAGTTTCATCAATTAGAAAGAATGAAATATATTTATTTTCTGCAATCCCAGTGGTTCGGACTGGGTATATGTTTCAAAAAATGTCAATATTCCTTTCCAGTTGGGTTGGTCCCAGGGGCAGAATTAGTGCTTCTGTCTGGCACTGTAACTGATCTAATGAACCCTGCTGGATGGTACTGGGTTGTACAGATCATTCATATATCAGGCAATCCACCTGTGGATAAAAAGGACATTGACTACAGCTCTGTAGTCTGCTGGCTTTCAAAGCCTTTATTTTTGTGTGAAGGGCTGACTCTTCACTGGACTACAGCTGTCTAATGGAAGAACAGTACCTTTATCCACCACTTTGCCCCTGTGGCTTCAAGGTCCAAGACCTGAGAAACAGGGTTTCTGTAGCATAAAGGGAGCATGTTTTAATTCTTCACCCAGTATTAAGGATTATCAGACTGTAAATGTTATGAATTAACATAATTTCAGCTCCTTGTATACCTGTAAATGCAGTACACTGTATGGATATATTTCAGTTCAGAGCAGAAGGCATTTCATATTCCAGGCCTGAACTGTGCTGGTGGTCAACTCAGAAACACTTGGTCTGGTTTCTGCTCCTGCTGCTCTGGCATTGTTCACCATTCAGCAATGGACATAATGCCCCAAAACATCACAGGAAGTTTGAATTTTACAGGGAACAACCAGGAAAGAACAGAAAGCAAATGTACAAATGCCCCTATTTTTCTCACACACACAAAAAAAAGCTTACAAACCCCACACATTTTAAAGCAACAAAGTTATTCCATGAGGGGGGAACAAAGAAGGCAATTATTCATCTGTCACATAGAGTAAGAAAGTTACTCGTCTCACAGATGTGTGTACCTACCCACTTGCAGCAAAATCCTTGTTTGATTCACATAAATAACAGCTCTGACCATAGCAGTTGGTGCTAACACATTTGTTCTCACACAGATCCGTGCATTTGCTCCTTTATCCAGGCATCCATGCAGACAAAACCACCATTCCCTATGTGTAGCCACAGAAAATGGAGGAACAACCAGCCAACATGATCTCAACACAAACAGACTGAACCAAAACCAACCAAAACCAAACAAACAAAATGCGTAACTTGTGAAAACAGTCATAAATATTTGTCTTCTCTCTTCATACAATTTCGCATTCATGTTTCCTTTTCACAAATTTAAAGAAATTACATTATCTGGTTGATGTAAAAGACATATTAAGGTTATGTCCCTGTTTCTATTTTGGCAGCTCTAGATTTATGGAGAATGTTCAAATGTTTCTTTCGGACCGGAAAGCACATACCTATGGTGTGTAAGCACATACATATATATATGAGAACACATATATACACAAACATGCATTCACGACTACACATACAGCTACAGCTGTTTATTTTTTCGTGATTTTGTATTTAAAGAGAAGTGTTTTAAAACAAAGAGCAGTTACTTTCACATGGTTAATACTGGAAATTTCTTCAACGGAGCTAAGTAACATTAACTTATTTACATTAATGCTAAACTTAATACATAATGTCAACTCCAATAACAGCAAGTGATGGAGCTGAAGAACACCATGGAAGCTGAAATTGTGGGAAACAAAACAAATAACTTATTTTACACTACAATGAAGCCAAGAAACTTTTTAATTGAAAGTGATTTTGTAAACTAAAATAGGTCTGACCTAAAATAATTTGTTCTCCAACAAAATACTCTGTTCTTTGATTTAGTGTTTATTATTAGCAATTGCATGTAATGTAAGACTGTGCTGCAGGAATATTATACTAAATGAAGCATAGCACTACAGACATGGAAATATCCATCTATATCATACTAGGATTTAGGAAAGTAATTTCTCATGCAAAATCTTTGGTACAATCTGTAATTCTTACACATAATTTATTTTTGTACTTTGTCATCTGGTTATATTATGTTCAGATAACAGATTCTAAACTAGTATTTTGACAATACATTAATATTTCTATGGCTACAAAGCTATTTTTTTCTATAAAATGATATCTCTACAGAGTTTGATGAGGCACTTCTACTTAGCTTTGAAAGACTGCAAAATGCTTAAAATACAACAAAATTTGTTTTCTCAAAGAACAGTATATGCTTTGGTGGAGTTTTACACATTAAAAGACATAAATTTAATCACTCCATTGCCTAAAGAAATCCCTCATTCTAATACCAATATTTAATAAATGGTAACCGAAGCTGTCAGGTGCTATATTTTGTATTTTTAAAAGCCAAATATAAAGGATAACTCCTGAGTCATAATTTATTATTAAATTCTAAATTTCATGTGTAAGTGCAACTGCTTTTTATTTAAAAGCAACTATACAGAAAATACAAAACTATTTAAAAATCATATCTTCCATCAAGTTTCTATTGACATTTCTTTCAACTAGTAGCTGTCAGATCACAAAATAAAGTCTTTAAAATGCTTCAAACAGTTCCAGCAGACTGAATTCCTTCAGAAACCTTTTCATGTAAGGATTTACAAATTTAAAGATCAATCAATGTGACATTTTAAAGTGACAGCAATAACAGCTCCTAACTTACTTAACCAGTAAGAAATTTCTATTACTTGGATATCCATGATATAAGGCTATCCATGAGACATGGACAGCCTTATATTAGGTACAAATAGAGAATAACAATGTAAACTATTCCAAAAATGTTCATCAATTTCTTAAAAGCAATTAGATCCTAACCAAGTACCTAAAACAGTCACGATGCTCTGATCACCTGTCGAAGTTGGAAGGATGAGGAGAGCTGTAACTAATAAAAAAGAGCAACTGATGCTCAAGAGGTCTCGGCGAGGGAAGATGAGCCGGGAGGGAGAAAAAGAATTACTGCCGGAGGGTTTGCCAAAGGGGATCCGCCTTATCCCCCCCGCCTCCGCATCGCCCCCCGGCAGCCCGGGGACTGTACCCGCCGCTGGGGGAATCTCCGCGGGGCCCCTCGCTGCCGCACTGAAGCGGGCGGTGACAAGCTCGGGGTTAGGCACAAGTCACCAAGGGACACCCCGTGCCCTCGCCTGCTCCTCGGAACCCCCTTCCCCAGGGCAACCCCCCTCCTCCCCGGGGCAGCCCGGCCCCGGGCACGGCAGGTCCCGGCGGTGCGGCAGCGCCCGGGCTGCCGGGGGACCCCTGGAGCGCTCCGGCCCCGATCTGCCGCCCGCCTCCGCTCCGGGAGCGCAGCACTCCGGCCCCGGGGCTCCGCCGAGCTCTGCCCGCGCTCTGCCGGCGGCAGGGGCCGCCCCGAGCCCCCCGCCCGGATCCTCTGCCCCGGCCCCGCTCACCTGGGGGTCCCGCTGCAGGCTCCCCGCGGACAGGGGCTCTGCGGCGCCGGGGTCCCCGCCGTGCCCCTTCCCCTCTCCCAGGATCCTGCTACGGCCAAGTCCCCGCGGAGCCCTCACCTCACCCCACCGCCGGGGCCTCCCGGCCCCCCAAGAGCTGCGCCGGCAGCCCCCGGCCGCCGCACCGCCCAGCACGGCGGCACCCTCCTCCCCCGCCACGGCTCCCCGCCCAGAGCAGACCCCGGGAAACGCCTACCGCAGCGCCTGCCCCCGACCCCCGCCGGCTGCCAGGCGTCCCCCTCCCCCGGGACCCGCTGCCACCCCCGCCCGGGGGGGCCCGCAGCCCTTGCGGATGCAGAAGCCATCCCGGAGCGACTACGAACCGCAGCGAGGGAGAGTCTGAAGGTGGACAGGATTTCCCCTTGTAACGGTACCATAAAACGAGGAGTTTCTCTTAAAGTTGGGGGAAAAACCCACCCCCTCCCCAAATAAACAAAACAAAACCAGCTTCAAAGCCTCCTTCCCCGTTATCCTTTAGAGCATCTTACAACACTTATCAACATAAGGCTCTCTTGGGAGCTGCAGGTATTGACAAGAACGGCTTAAAATGAAAATTACTGTTTCATAGAAAGTACTCGCAGGATAAAAATTAGGACTTTGAGGTATGAAACGATTTGTGGCACAGCTGGTATGTAAAATAAAACCATCAAACGTCTTGTCATAATCAAATATTCCCTATATCTGGACTAGCCACATTGCTTTTGAAAGATGTCGTTCCATATAAATGCCTTTAACGCCTGGTAGAAAATTTTTATGAACATGTTGACAAATGAAATAAGCCGGGTTATTTGATTAGTGTCCATGTAATCTGAATATGGGATTGTATCGGGAAAAGAAACGTCAACCCTTTAATGCTTTTGAAAGGATGGATTTTCGCTGCAATTAAAGAGTAATCTTATACCAATAAAAAAAGCTAACTACTCTCGCCGTGTCCTGTGATACAGGGATTACAGAGGATGGAGTCAAGACTTTGTGTTATCTTTTAAATTTTTTTAAAATTGAACGCTGGCCGAACGAACAACACTGTTAAGGACAGCGGGGGTTTGGTAGCTGCCCCACCGCCCTGGGAGGTTCCGCATCCTACCGCCTGCCCAAGAACAAGGCTGGAGATGCAGGTGGCATCTCCTAATAATTCGTGGGAAACACTTGCTGATTTGGGATGCAGGTGTCAGGAAACCGGGATGGACAATTCCCACTGAACTTCATATCGCAATAGTTTATGTTTTTGCAGACTTTATGCAAATAGCGACAGAAGGCGTAAGAAGAGACAATTAGACATTGTCACCTGCCTTATGGAGTTTAAACCACTGTGAAACAGTGCACTGAGGTAACCTGTGCCCCAGGCAGGGTAAGATCCGCACCTTACGGTCATCTCCACAGTCTCTTGGTCTGATCTTCCGTCGAGCAAGAGCCCAGCAGACGAGCCCGGGTGACCGGCAGTCCCGGGGCTGTTCCCCCGCCCCGGACCGCCCTGCCTCCTCGCTCCCCTCCTTTGGGCAGAAGCGCTGACCCCAGACAAACCTCGCTTCGGTTTCGGACCTGGCAGGCTTGCCCGGCGTGTGTGACAGCCAGCGGAGGGGCTCACGCAGATCGGAAAACCAACGTTATCTAAAGCAAGAGGCGGCTGTGGCGGGATGCGGCTCTGCAGAGGCAGCCCACAAGCTCCCGCCGCGCCCGGCCCTCCTCGCAGACGCTGGAGGAGCAGGGAAGGGGCGCTAGCAGAGCCACAGACCTCCATTTCCCAGGGTGTTTCTGCCCAGCACTAACCGTGGCAAGACACAGCCGGATCCTTGTTTTGTGTATGCTCATCTAGCCTTAAAACATGTCCCCCTCGCCGGGCCCTTTGGGGAAGGCAGGTGAGCCAGCCATCTCTCTTTGCAGAATCAGAGGATACATTAGAGATCAGAAAAGGGCAGTGCACATTATCGGAAAATAACTTCAGCTGATTTTTTCTTATTAGTGCCTTACTCGGCTTTGGAGACTTCCTTGAAGTCTGTCGCGGAATTTTCCCAAACAGTCCTATATTCACGAGGCCCAGGGAACGAGGCACCAATCTGAAGCCATCAGAATTTTTATTTCGTTCCGAAAGGCCGCGGTGTGTGCGGGGGAGGACGGCTGCCTCGGGCAGGGGGTGGCGGGGGTGGCCGGGACGCGATGCCGGGGCTACGGCTGCCGGGGACCGCGCAGGCTGCGGACACTAGTGGGCACCGTCGAGACCGAAGGCCGGCGGAGCGGGAGGAAGGGGGATTCCTGCTGCCCAGCAGCCGCTTGCTCATTTGTTGTGAATGTCGCCAGAGAGGATGTGGGTTTCTTGTATTTCTCCGTGATCTAAGTAATCGCTGGGTCTCAACTGGCCAAAAACCTTTAAAGTGGTGAGCTCAAGCAGTGCCTTCAGCTTTTAGCTGGGCATAGTTAAACCGGGCGAAAGGCTGAAAACCGGTGGACCTTCTAATCTTTTCTTGATAAGTCCCCGACCGCCGCCGCGGTTGGATGTGTCTGAACTTGGTCCAGCACAGAAACAGGGAATTGAAACAGAGATGCTTTCCCCGAAGATCAAACTTTATTTCAGACTTGCAGGCGGCAGCTCACACCGCACAAAACACGGCAAGGGCCGCTAGAAGGGGCGCTGGATGCGACGGGGAAGGGGCTTTGCGCGGAGGGGGCAGGCACGCCGCGTCCACGCGTGTTCTAGTCGGAGGCAGAGGGAAAGGGCCCGCCGACTGCGCGGCATCCCACCATCCCTCTATGGAGGCGGGCAGGGTCCAGCGCAGAACTGCCTTGTGCTGTCGGAAAGCAACTCAGACGCCCACACCCACACCCCCGCTCTGCCGCCCGTCCAGCGCCACCCCGCAGGGCAGCGGGCTCAGACCGCCCGGGCGGGCTGTGCGCCCCCGCGGTACCGGCATGGTCCGGGGGAAGAAGTATCACTTTTTACTGCTGGCACGTGGAAGCGGCTCCTGGCCGTAGCCTTATAGCTCAGCTGCCCGAGTGAAGAGGCCCCAGCGATGCAGTGGGTGTTTGGGGGACTGCTGCCTGATGGGGCCGCGCGCCAGCGCCCCACAGGGGATGGATTTCTTCCACCTTGACTCGCGTTCCGAAGCCTCCCCCCCAAGAAAGAAAGAGAAATGTCTAGTCCCAACTCTGTCATGCAAAGTGACTCTGCTCGCATCCCTCCCCGTGGCTCTTTTCATTAATTAGGGGCTGCAAAGGGTGTGGGGGAGGGGGAAGCGGCTGGAAGCCACTAATTATTCAAACTTTGGAGACAGCATCCAGATGAGCTGGGCCAACTCTTTAGGGCAGTGCTTTGTAACCTTTGTGTAACAGGCGGGAGAGTGATTATGCTACTGTGCAAAGCCTCCATTAAGAGATTTCATTTCATCATTGCCCATCGCCTGCAGGATGTGTGCAGACTCCAGGGAGAGTAGACGAAGTTTTCCACTGAAAAAAACACAATTTGCTGTGGCACGAGAAGGCTGTGAAAACCTGCCCTTTACCCCCGCTTCCAGGCAATAACCTTTTTAATTGCACTCATCTGCAACTCGATTTTTCTCAACTGCCCCCTCTATCCCCTCCCCGTCCCCCCCTCCGGTTTGCTACAGGTTTTTGCAATGACGCCTGTCTCCTACAGCAACTTCTTTCCGCTTCGGCCACTGCCGCCCCTCAGCCCTGGCCACCTCAGGGCTCCCTCCCCTTCCGAGCCTGCAGGAGAGAGGCTTAGCGGGACGCGCAGCGATGCCCCGGAATGTGGCTGGGCTGTCCCTGTCCCTTCCTGGGCTCCGCTCCCGCCGCCGGCGGAGTCTCCCGTCCCGTTCCCCGCCGTCCTGCCCCGAGGGCAGTGCGAGAGGGAAGGAGGGAGGAACGCCCGAGCTGTGCCCCGGGGACGATGGAGAAGCGGCGGGGTAGCGGTCCCTAACCTCGGTCCCTTGCTCGCAGCAGCCTTTCCCACCTCAGTATCCCGGAACAGGAAAGTCCCAGTTCAGCTTGCCCCCATAAGATCCTGTCTCCCTCCTCCCGCTCCCCTCCCTCTGCCCCTTCCTGCCTCTGGCCCTTGCGGGAGGAACCTCTTCTCTCCTTGTGGGACGGGGCTGAGCTGCTCGGGGCAGCCGCCAAGGCGGCGGGTTATGGGGTCTGGGCTCTGGGAATCATCCGCCTGGGCTCTGCCCCCAGCCCTGAGCCAGCGGTCCGGGGTCCGGCGGGCAGGGCTGCCTTGAACTCTCAGGGTTGAGTTGAGATCCTGAAGTTAGTGATTTTTTGTTTGTTTGTTTGTTTGATTTGATTTTTTTTCCTCTGCCCTCGGTGCTTCCGAAGTGCCTGTAATATTTGAAGAGAGCGAGGGAGAGAGAGGGGGAGAGAGAGACTGGGGGAGGAGGATTAAGGAAGGGAAAAGATGGCGAGTTGCTGGAGCAGCGTGGAGAAAGCGGCATTTTTGTGCTGCTTCTTGCTGGCAGTGGGAAGCCTAATCTCCTGCGCCCGCCCGGAGGTGGAGGAAGAGCAAGAAGAGCAGCGCTCCTGTCACGGTGCCTTTGATCTCTACTTCGTCCTGGATAAGTAAGTGACAGTCGCATTTAAAAACGTTTATTCACCCTTGAGTGACTCCTTGCAGCGGCAGGGACGTTGTTTCCCCTGTCTTCCCCGCGTGGCTTCCCCTGATGCGAAACATGATGTTTGGGGCAGGTTGATTATTTTTGTTCCCCAAAACTTGCACGTTTCCAAGTGGAGCATTTAGGGTAGCATTGTGCTTTATCCTGGATTAATTTCACATGCAAACCTGGGAACTCGTGTCGCTTTAAGGTTACAGTGCGTGGTATGAGGACTGTGAGCACTGGGTTTGAGGGGATGTTGGTCAGTGCCCCAAGAACGCCTGGGGTTTTGTGTCAAGACTCGGGCTATGTGCTGAGATGTTACCCGTGGGACTTAGCAGTGCCAGGACTGTGCAGAGCTACCTAAAGTTAAGACCAGACTGCTTGTATGTGGTTGCTTTTTTACAGATTTGCTTATAAAAGCAAGGTTTTATGAAATTTATTTTTGCTCAACTTCTTTGTGATCGTCTTG